ATGAAAGACGTAGGAGGAAAATTCTCAATCAAAGTTCCAAGTATTTAATTTTTTTTTTTTTTTTATTTAATGGGAGTCGAATTAAGTTTTTCTCTCCTTTTTTACCATTTAATTTTGGTTATTTTTCCTTTTAGATGGGGTCAAACTACGTCACTTTCACAATCAAGCTCCAGGCGAGATAATAGGGATAATAATTTTGGATCGATTCGTAACAGTTATAAAGATTCAATTGATTTTTTATACGGGAATAATAATAAAAAAAAAAAAAATTTTAAAAATTCATCTAAAAAAATATTACGTAACGATGTAAATGGTGGTGGTGGAGGGGAAGAAGAAGAAGAAAAATACGGTTGTAATTATTCAAAACCACCGCCACATCCGCCACCGCCATCTTTAATTAAAAAAAAAAATATTTCTCCTTCTTCTTCTTCTTCATCAACGGATGGATTTAAAAAACTTATGGATGATGATAAAAATAAAAATAGTTTATTTGAAAACATAACAACGAATTCCGGTGAAATTATTAATAATAATAATAATAAAATTTATAAAAGTAAATCGGAAGATGGAATATTGATAAATTCAACGAGGAGAAAAATTCAAATGGGAAAAGAAAAAATTTTCCCGCCTTTTTTGGATTCACTATTAATACCGTTTACAAATTATAAGAAAGAAACAAATGAAAAAATACCGTTAAAAATAATTAATAAAAACGATGGAGTCGTTATAAATATATATTCATCGTCGTCGTACGATAATAATGATAATGATGATGATGATGATGATAATTATCCAATCGTTTCCGCCGATGGTAAAATAAATAACGATAAAAAAATAATAATAAAAACTGCATGCGAATTACCGAGTACCCACGTTTGGCTTTGAATTAAAATTTTATAATAATTTATTAGAATTAATTTCCTCTTATTAGGATATTTAAAACAAACGAACGAAAGAATCACTTCATCTTTTCTTATTTTAATAGATTTAATAAATAAAATGTATTAACGGTTTATGTATAGTCGCGTTACTGCCACGTCGCGTTTTTTTTCTTTATGATTAATTAAGTCAAACGCACGTCGGATGAGTAAACATAATCGGGTACGCAGATAATAAATTAGATTTCCGAACGTTTTTTGTTTTTGTTTATTTATTTACCGATTCCCGCGTTAAAGAAAACGTCATAGAGTAAATAAATATTTGTATAATTTGCTTATTGAAGACTTTTTACCGATCCATTTTGAGAGTTTTATAGACTGATTTATTTTTTTTTAGAATAATTATTATTTTTTTTTTTTTTTTAGAATAATATTATAAAAATAATAATTAATAATAATTTCTTTTTTTTAATTACAATCAAAACGTTAGAAAAATGACTGATTTTAATTAAATAACTTATTATTATTTTAACGGCTTATTTATTAATAATGGTAACTAACTAATTTAATTAATTAATTAATCATCATCATTATTGTTATAATTTTATTAATTCTTTTTTTTTTAACTTAAAATTATTATTATTATTAATAAGAGAAAATTTTTAACCGAATGTTATGTATTTAACGATATTAAATGTATTAGATAAATTAATTGTTGTTTGTATTATTATTATTATTATTATTATTGGTGTTTTATTATTAAAATATATATGTAAGCTTGTTTTATATAATAAACGATATATTGTAAAATAATAATAATAAAGATAATAATGTTTTTTATTTATTATGTATTGTATGTTATTAATAATAATAATTTTTTAAATATATATAATTATTATTATTAAAAAAAAAAAGTTTATAATTTGTGTGTGTGTGTAATTATTATTATTATTATTATTATTATTTAGTAGTTATTGTTTGTGTATGTAGTAATAGTTAATAATTTTAATAATGATAATTAATTTGTTTTTTGTTAATTAATTAAAAGTTTTTTTTTCTTGTTTTCAGTCCTATAATTTGTATGACAGATTATACACATTTGGAATATGTGGATGGTTCAAATGTAAGCGTTTGTCAAACACTTGCTGATACATTTTGGTCAAAAACATTTTTCATTGGTGGAACATTAATTTTTTTTGCACTTCCACTTGCAATATTAATTATGCTTTATTCAGTGATAGCAATTAATTTAATGATGCATCCAGCAATAATTCCTCTGAGAAGATTGGTGAGTAAAAACAAATGGATGTGGAAAGACAATTTTTGTTTACTTTTCCATTATATTATTATTATTATTATTGTTGTTTTAGGAAAATCCATCATCTGCACAAAGATATAGGAAAAAAGTAGTCATGATGTTGGGTACTGTTGTTACATTTTTTTTCGTTTGTCTTTTACCATTTCGAGCATTGATCGTTTGGATCGTTTTGGCACCACACGAAGAAGTCATGAAATTAGGAAACGAAGGCTATTACACTTTACTTTATTTTTGCCGTATAATGTTTTATTTAAATTCCGCGATAAATCCGATATTGTATAATTTAATGTCGTCGAAATTTCGTAACGGTTTTTTAAAATTATGCGGTATCAAAAGAAATTGTTATAGGAAACATAAGAAAGCACTTTTGAGAACGAGTACTTTTAATACTTCTTCTCTGACTGCCATAACAACGAGTTCCATACATAGGCCATCAATTCCTGAAGTTAGTAACGGTTCGAAAGAAAAAAAAACATCATCGTTTTTAGATTCGAGAAAAGAAAATGGACGAAGGAATTCAAATTGCTCAAAATCTTTGCTTTTATGCGGTGAAATTATCAACGATTCCAAATCCGTACGTTTACGTAATAAATTAAATAACGAAAAAAGAAAAAATTTTGATAAATTTTATATAACGAGAACGAATCAAATAAATCGTAAAAAAATAAATAGGAGAAGAAAATCGTTTAGTGATTATTTAATCTATGGAACAAATACGAGCACAACACCCGTCACGCTCAATCACAGTCAAAGCATGGATAGCATATTTAGAAGAAAATCATGCTACGGTGTAAAAAAAGGAAAGTTAAAAATTGTTAATAAAAAAAACATTTATAATTCCGACGATGGTATTATTGTTTTTAAAAGCACTGATAAGAATAATGTTTTGTCTGGGACCAAAAAAAGTGATAAGGTACATAAACAATTAATTATATGTGAAAATGAACAAAATTCGAATAAACATATGAATAAAAAAACCAAAGACAGATTTAAAGAAAGTTTTGTTTAAAAAACAATTTTTCTTTTCTTTTTTTTTTTTTTGTACCTTTTTACACTGTGTTTTCACATAAATATTTTTAATAATGTTAAAAATAATTTATTTAAAAAAAATAAAATTTAAAATTTTTATATTTTTTTTTGGTAAAAGTTTTTCAATTTGATTATATTTTTATAAACTTTAACAACAAAAATACCATTAAAAAAAGCAAATTTGATGACTCTGCTCTAAAAATATCCCTTGTAAATAATAAATATAAATGTTTGTGCGAAATGAACATGAAACAAATCAATCGAATGAATATGCAGATGTTATGTGTGGAGTGATATTGTCCAACAACATATAATAAAAAATTTCAAAGTAATTATCGATAACACATTTAAATTAATTAAAATATTCTTTTTTGAATGATGTAAACAACACATGCTAAAAAAAATGCAAATGCGAAAAAAATCAAAACTTTATCCGTTTTTTCCCTTTGTCCATATTTCGCTAACAATTTACTTGATTGACCGATTATATTTCCAGTGTTATCCAATTCTATTTTTGTTCCATCTGCTATTGTTGATGTGTTAACTAAATTATAAATACAAATTAATTACAAGATAAATAATAAATGTCTTTTTAAAAAAAATTTTTTTTGGGTAATAAAATACTAACATAACGTATCCAAAGATGTAGCACTTCTTTGAGTCGAATCATGCAATGATCTGCTTATTGACAATAATTGATCTGTTACATTAGAAGAAATTTTAGCCAAACTATCCTTGTCTTTTTTTTTTCTAAAACGAACAAAATTGAAATTAATAATCGTGAATGCCATTTTTTATTCGAGGTGTTTGAGAAATTATGCTCGATTGTTAAAATGTAAATAATCCACCTGTGAGTAACATAAGATTCTTCACTGTTAAATAAATTTTCCCTATTACTCTTATCAATGGCAATCAAAGCTACAGTATTAGCTTTTTGAAAGGCTGCTATGGTTGCTGTCAATTCATCTTCACTAGTTTTAACATCGCTAAGTAACCATTTTTGAACGCTTGGTTTTTCGCTTTCATTTGCCAGAGCTTTCAAAAGATTTAAATTATTTCTAAGTAAAGATATTTTTTTTCTACCCTCATGATTTAATTCATTTAAAACTTCTAGTGGACCTTTGCAATTTTGAATTTCCTAAAAAACGATAAAAATAAATTTTGCTTTTAATTAATTACCATATTGTTTTTTTTTAAATGTAACGTCTTATTGAAAAATTTACTTGGCAAGCCAATAATAGCCTATGCAAACTAAATCAAAAACAAAATAAGAAAGTTTTTTTTTTTTTTTTAAATTAAATATTTTGTATCTGATAATAAAGTTTTAAGCATTTTAAAAAGTACAACTCACTAATATTAATTCTTTCGTTTTCAAATTTAAATGTACTATTTCTCTTTTGACGAGATCTATTTGAGTTACGGCCGACATTAATAACTTTTTTTTTTTATATATTTTGTAAATAAAAATGTAAAAGCTTAATTCATTACTAATGATTTAATTAAAAAAATAAAAAATTATGAATTAATTTTTTTTAAAGGGACTGTAAATAAATAACGTGGAAGTAGAAAAATATCAAAGTGTGTGAAATTAATTGTATGGCAGCTGATACTATTAAACAAGTTAAAATGAATTGTAACGTAGGAAAATTTTTAATTTTTTTTCATTAAATAACCGATAATTTTGAATGACTTAAATAATGGGGAATCAATTAGTTGGAATAGCACCATCTCAAATATTTCCAGTTGAGCATTACCTCACGGATCATTCCAATTTAAAATTTGATGTCAAGTATGTAACTAGTGAGTGAAATCTATTTATCTATAAAAAATTTTATTCATAATAATTAATTATTATTATTATTATTATTGGAGTTTAATACTCATTATAAATTTAATTATTATAAATATAAATTAAAATTAAACATGTGTGAAAGTAAATTAAATAACACATATGTAAATTTAAATCATTTGTGATATTTTGTGATCATTCACTTGTGTGTTATTGATGTAATAATTAATTTTTAGCCTAGGCTCAACGAGATTTTTCAAAGTCGCCCGTGCGAAATCACAAGAAGGATTGGTAGTTGTTAAAGTTTTTGTTATTCATGATCCATCATTACCCTTAACAACATATAGAAATGGAATAGAAGACATTAGGACCAAATTAGCATCTGCTGTTAATTGTTTACCATTTCAAAAAACAATATTGCAAGATAGGGCTGGTTTTATTATTAGGGAATATGTCAAAAGTAGTTTATATGATAAAATTTCAACTAGGCCTTTTCTAACAAATATTCAAAAAAAATTTATGGCTTTTCAAGTAAGTTATAATTTAATAACTTATGTGTTTCAGTTTCATTCGTTAGCTCTTTTTTTTTTTTTTTTGTCTAGATTTTGTATGCTTTGCATCAATGTCACAAGGTAGGAGTTTGTCATGGAGACATTAAATTAGAAAACTTAATGGTCACTTCTTGGAATTGGATATTATTGACTGATTTTGCTAGCTATAAACCAAGTTATTTACCAGAAGATAATCCAGCTGATTATTCATATTTTTTTGACACATCACGAAGGAGAACTTGTTACATAGCTCCTGAAAGATTTAATAATAAATTAAGTAAAGGAAGTACATTATTCGATGAAGGATTAGTCAAAGGGGAATTAACACCTGCCATGGACATTTTTTCAGCTGGGTAATATTATTATTATTTATTTATTTATTTAAGCTTTCAAACAACATTTGAATATCATTTCAAATTTCACTTTAGATGTGCTTTGATAGAACTTTATAACGAGGGTCAGCCACCTTTTACATTATCTCAGTTATTATCATACAGAATTAATGAATATGATCCAAAGAGACATTTGGAAAAAATTGAAGACATAGGAATTAGAAATTTATTAGCGCATATGGTTAGTCAAGTTTTGCACATTTTTCATTATTTGATGTTTTATTTTTGCATTAACATTATGTATTCTTTTTACTAGATTCAAAAAGATCCATCTGCGAGAAGTTCAGCCGAGATTTATTTGGATCAAGCGAGGGGAACTGTTTTCCCCGAATATTTTTATTCATTTCTTCAAGGCTACATGCTTATGTTTTCTGCTGCTCAACCGATTATGTCTCCGGATGAAAAAATAGCTAGGTATTTGTACTATTATTTAAAATCCCATTATAAAACATCTATATCATGAAATATAATTTTTTATTTATTTTAGACTTAAATCTGATATAAATAATGTGATTGAAATGCTTACTAAAGAGAAAGAACCGAATAATGAAAATTCTTTGAAAGAAGGTTCAGATGGTTTAGTTATAATTACAACATTGGTAACATCTTGCATAAGAGCATTACATCATTCCAATTCGAAATTACAAGCTTTGGAAGTTTTACTAGAGCTTGCCTCACATTCTAGTACAGAAAATATTCTGGATAGGATAGTTCCTTACATTGTGAATATCTCGAGAGAGAGAAAAAAAATTTTATTTATTTAAAGTGCAATAGATTAAGACGTACTAATGTGAGTTTTTTCTTTCTAGTTTCATTTAATGCAAGATCCCGTTCCGCGTGTAAGAATATTATCAATACACACACTAACCAAAGTTTTAGCCTTAGTTAAAAATGTACCTTGCAGTGATGCTAATATTTTTCCGGAATACGTTCTTCCCGGTTTAGCTCCGTTAACGAACGATCCGGTTATACTAGTGAGATCAGCTTACGCTCAAAACATAGCAGACCTTGCCCAAATCGCTCTCAGGTTAGTTCAGGTTTCAACTGAAAATTTTCCCTCATTTTTCTAGAGTCTTTTATTAATCGATTTCAATTTTTTTTGCAGTTATATTGAAAACTCACGAGACTGTCAATCGTCAAAACCCTCGGACACGCCTAAATTAAGTTACGAAACTGAATTAAGGATATTGCGGGATATGATACAACAAACGGTTTCCTCATTGCTTGCAGATTCGGAAAATATTGTTAAAATTACATTAGCCGAATATGGAATCACTAGATTATGCGTGTTTTTCGGAAAGCAAAAAGGTTGTTGTCGAAAGTACTTTTCAACTGATTCCTGACACGATCATTTTATTTGTTTTTATTTTTTCATATCGTAATTTCATTTTTATTTTCAGCCAACGACGTACTCTTATCTCATTTAATAACATTTTTAAATGACAAAAATGATAAACAGTTGAGGGGTTCATTTTTCGATTGTCTCGTCGGTGTTGTTTCTTACGTTGGCGTTTACAGTTCGGCCATAATAACTCCATTGCTTCAACAGGTATGAAAATTTTTGAAAATTCTACTACCACGTTAGAATTATAAAACTTTATTTTTTTGATGCAAATGATTGGTGATTTTCTCATTGTAATTTTTAAAAAAAAAATAAAGAAATTTAATTAAATTTATGGATCGTGTGCGTGTGTGTATGTATGTGTAGGGTCTTTCAGATCCCGAGGAATTCATTATAGTCAAATCAATAAATGCAATGAAAGAGCTCACCAAATTAAATCTTTTGTGTAAAGCTTCTGTCTATCAATTGTTACAAGATACGGCTTGCTTTCTAGTTCATCCAAATTTGTGGATTCGACATGCAGTCGCTGGTTTTATAGTTTCTATTGCTGTTGCTCTCGACACCGTAGATGTTCAATGTAAAGTAGTCAATCATTTAAGTAATTATTTTAAATCTCCCGTCATTCAAGTTAACAAAGAGGTAACACGATTCCCTTTTTTATTTAATCCCTATAATAATTTAAATTATGCATTATCGTATTTTTTTTTTTGTGTTTGCAGTATTTAATACTGAATGCACTGTTGGATCCAGTACCGAGAGAAGTTTTCGACACCGTACTTAAGTGCCAAGACATCGAAATATTATTACATACATTACAAGAGAGACAAAAGGCTAGAAATTTAGTTAAAGCCGGTCACGTACCGCAATACATATCTATTCCATCTGTGATCAAAACTGTAAATAATAATAATAATAATAAATATGATTACGTTTAGGGGGCAAAAAAAAAAATTTTTTTAAATTTTTTACTTTAGATTTTCCGACGTTTGATTTCGGAAGGAATGAACGATCTCGTTGAAGACCAATTGATTAGCATGGGAAAACATTTGTTGAAAATGCACAAACACAAAATGTTTTTCAACGATGATAAACAAATCAATCTTTCGGAAACGAATGGAAAACTCGATTTGAGCCTTTTAAATGTTACTATAAATTCACATTGTGTCAATCTCAAAACTGATGTTCAAAAAGAATTTCAAGTTGGTTGATAATCATTAAAAATAAAAATTATTTAATCGTAACAGGTTTAAGAGCAAGTTTTGTTTTCTTGTGTTGGTAGGATGCAAATAAGAAAAGGATGGATAAATGTAATCGTTTGTCACCGGAACTTCATTCAAATATCGGTATGAATTCTGAATGGCAACACATGTTTGGTACTGGAGACATGGCTGCCACACAAATTTCAAAAACGACGATAACGTCGAGTAATTTAGAAGTTCCATCATCTCCTCTTTATTCTTTAATTTCGGACACGGATCAAAGTCTTCACGAAAAATCATACATTCAATGTAACTTTTTACTTTTAACATCAAATTTCCTTCGAAACGAAATTTAATTAGAAGTTAAAAAAAACTTACGTGATTAATTTCAGATAGATGTGCTCCTTGTAAATCCGAATTGAGAAAATTAATTAGTAGAAAACAAGAAATGTATTTCAAGACTTCCAGGGCACGAGAATTAGCCGAACAAACTGCTTGGGGACCACACATTCCACCACCGGGTTGGAGGTTAAAGGGCACTTTGGTCGCTCATTTACACGAGCATAGAAGTTCTGTTAATAAGTAAGTTGAAGATGGATTTTTTTCTCTTTATTCCTCGTTTAAAATAAAATTTAAAACAATGAGGAATGTATTTTCAGATTGGTTCCTCTTCCTGGCAAAGGGAAATTTGTCAGTTGTTCGAACGATGGTTGCATACGATTATGGGATTGCATTAAAATGGAAGGGAAAAATATTGCCAACAGGTACACAAAAAAATGACGGTCAATGATGGCTAGAAAAAATGTCTGATTAATTATTTTTGATTCCAGGTCTAAACTTTTATACAATCGACAAACCGGTGCCCTCATGGGTTTGACCCTCTGCGAAAATCACGAATCTTTGGCTTCGGCATCTGCCAATGGATCCGTATTCGTCATGCGTGTTGAAACGAGTTCGAATAAAGTATCTCTTTTACATTCTAGACAATTGGACATACAGGAAGATGGTTGCGCGGTAGACATTAACTACTTGGACTCAGGTTCGTAAAATGTTTTTTACTGGAGTAAATGTTTTTCATGCGGTACGATAAAAAAATGTCTAAAATTTTTACAGGATCGCAATCTGTTCTCGTGTATGCCACAATGTACGGATCACTCGTGGGATGGGATCTCCGAAAACCGGGCACAGCCTGGAAGCTTGACAACGACCTCAAACATGGCGTTATAACATCATTTTGTCTTGATTCTCAACAGTGTTGGGCTGCGGTCGCAACATCGAGCGGATATCACACGGCTTGGGACCTTCGCTTTCAATTAGCTGTAGCCAATTGTGTTCATCCAGCAGGTAAATTATTATTATTATTATTAATAAGCAACAACAATTTACCGATTGTAATTGAATTATTCAAGGTCGCGTTAGAAAAGTCGTTCGTCATCCAACGGAAAAATCATGGATTTTATCCGCGGTGCAAGGAAACAATGAAATATCCATGTGGAACATGGAAACACAAACGAGGCAGGGAGTACTTTGGGGAACCACGACTCCACCTCTGTCAAAAAGTTCGGTTAACGGACACAGCGTGTGCGCAATGTACGCAGGAGAAATGGACAGGTCTCCGTTTGTTTTTACCGGTGGAACGGACATGAGATTGAGATATTGGGATTTATCAAATTCAACAAATTCATATCTTGCTGTGCCTTCTGCTTTGGACGTCGTCAATTCTTCCTCATTCAGTTACGAGTAAGCAATACAAATAAACAAAAGGTTGTTTGTTGCCTTCCTTCGTTCGTTGGAAAATAAAATAATTTTTTTTTTTTTAGGCAAAGAGTTATAGACGGTATGAATGTCATACATGAAATAGCATTGAAACCACGAGGTGGAAATTTAAACGAATCGTCGTCTAAATTCGAAGAGATGAAAAAAAGTCCTTTTGAAGAAACGAGAGGACGAGTAACGGAAGCTCCTCATCCAGGTAACAAAAAAAAAAAAAAAAAATTATTTTAATTGCGGGTACCACCACCACCACCACCACGCATCCATCGATTACATGAAAAAAAAATTCTTTTTTTTTTTTTTTTTTCAGGTCACCAAGATGCCATTACAGACATAGAAATGTGCCAAGCGACACAATGTTTCTTATTAACGTCATCCCGTAACGGTGTAATTAAAGTTTGGAAATGAAATAAATCATTATTATTATTATTATAAAGTTCAAAAACTTTTCTATTATATTAATTATGTATACACTCGTTGAAAAAATATATATAGGAATGATGAAAATGATCGATTGATCGAAAAAATTGTGTGAATGTTAATTAACGTGTAAAAAAAAGTGTTGAAGTGAATAAATAAATAAATAAATAAATAAATTTACTTTAAATAAAATTTATTATTAATTTTAAAAAAATTGCAGTAATTTATTATTATCATTATTTTTTGGTTTTTTTTTTTTTTCCCGTCGTCGTATTTTTATTAATTAATTATTTCGTGAGTTAAAGTTCTAACGTCGACAATTTTACACATATCATTTGAATTTTGATTTAAAACGAAAAAATTTGGATTGACCCAACCTTGACCCTGATAATAATTATTAATAATTACGTCGTTTGGAAAAGCGTTCGGTGGCACGGGAATCATATTATCGAATTTTTCCTTTTCGAATTCTTCCCACGCCGCTTGTCGCTCTTCCAGAGTCAATTCTTCATCTTCTTTATTTTCCAATAGGGAATCGTGTTCGTGATAACTCACGATCAAATCCCTATTCGAAGACAATATCTGTGCTAGTAAATTATCCTTCGGGACTTTGGGGATTTCCCATAGATTTTTCGGCAGGGGATTATAAGTGAATAATTCTTGCAAGTTGACCATCGAAAAATGTCTTTCGATTTGATGTTCGTCTATTATCCTGTGCGCGAGAGATAATTTCGTGACTTGACGTTGATATATTTTCTCTTCCATCGTCGCCTCCGATAGAAATCTATAAATGTAACAAGTTTTCCTCTGTCCGAAACGATAAACTCTAAATATGCTCTGTAGGTCGTGACTCGGATTCCATGACACGTCGAATATGATGACTCGATTTGCAGACACCAAATTAATACCCAAACCTCCGGCTCTCGTCGATATTAGCAAAAGTCTTAAACGTTTGTTATTTTTATCGTTGAATTTTTTACAATAATCGAAACGACTTTGACTGTTTGTCGTACCGTCGATCCTATAATAATCCACACCCGTCACCCACGTGTTACATTCATCATTCTTATTATTATTATCGTTTACGAATCTTAAGAAATACTCGATGAGATTGAGAGTCGTCAAATACTGACTGAACACTAAAAGTTTATCACCCGCTTGATGGCAAATTTTCAATATTTGAAACAGCAAAACTAATTTTCCACTCGCTCGAATCTCCGTGAATTCTTCTTCTTTTAAAATTTTATTACAATCCGCGAACGCCATTGCGAATTGTGACGTTTTGTCCACGTCGTTGGATACGGTGTCCAGTGCGTGATGGAAAACACGGGGATGAGTCCAGATTTTTTGAAGCCAGGAAAATGTATTGAACAGAGATTTATTTTCGGAAAAATTCGCATAGTTTTTAACGAACGTTCTATAGAGTTCTTCTTGAGTTTCCGTCAGACATATTTTAATGACGTATTCTTGTTTTTCCGGAAGTAGAGATTTCAATACGTAGTATCCGAATCTTTGAATGAATCCTTCGACGAGAGAATGAAGAACGTGTGCTCTCCTTTTCATTATTCTAACATCCGATTGCGTGGAATCTTCGAATTGGCCATTTTTAATAGGATTAACGAATCCGTTCATGAATTCTCTTTTCGTTCCCAATATGCTGGGTTTGACGAATTCGACCATGCAAAAATATTCTATTAAATTATTTTGTAGGGGAGTCCCCGTGAGAACGATTCGTCTGAGAGTTTTCAATTGTGACACGCATAGGGCCAAACATGATTTTTCATTTTTCAACAGGTGACCCTCGTCGCAAACGACCAAATCCGGACCCGGATTTAAAAAAGCCGTTAAATATTTTGAATTTTCATTTTTTTTATTATTCGTCATGAGACGAAATCCGTTGTAGCTCATTATCAAAACCCCACCGTTCTCCTTCCACGATTTTATTTTTTTAATTTTTAATTTTTTCGTTTTGCACGTGACGACTTCGAATATTTTTATCCTTTTCTTACATTTTTTCAACCAATAATAAAATTCTTTGACCCAATTTTGAACTGTGCTCAGAGGACATAGTATCAATATGGATTGAACTCCGGTGTTGTTCGTGAGAAGTGTGTGTGATAATGTTATCACTTGAAGTGTTTTACCCAATCCCATGCAATGTGCCAAAATACATCCGGATCCACTGTCTTCTTCCATTCTTTTAAGGGATTCGAAACAAGAATCCCACATGAATTTAACACCTTCCCGTTGATGAGGTTTTAAATTGCAAACTAAATTTTCATCTACAACGAGTAATTCTTCTCTGGTTTCAGGATCGAAATCCAGAACCAATTTGGAATCGTTCGAATTGACGGAATATTTTTCAAATATTTTATGCCTTTCGCTCAGCCTTTTCTTCCTCTCCGTTTCCATTTTTCTCGCTTGTTTCGTATTTATGTCCAACGATTCCTTTTTTAAAATTTTCTTTATGTTTTTACGTCCCTTATTGGGAGATTTTTGAAAGGTCGAATCGGGACTGCATTGAATTATCGATGAATCGGTGGTACTTCCGGTTAAACTTTCCGGTTCGCTGTCCGACAACACCCTACGTTTTCCCTTGACATTTCTTTTTTCGCTCGTTTCCGAATCTTCGCTTATAATAAAACCTTCGCTGATTATGGATTCTTCGCTGCTATAATTTGAACATTCGCTCATATTAGATTTTTTGCTACTTTTATAAGAATCATGGCGGCGAGTACTTTTCGTTTCTTCGCTTTCGTTTCTTTTATCATCGCTTATTTCACTTTCCGTTTCGAATATTATTTTATTATTTTGTACGGATTCTCCATCGCTGCTGGTGCTACTACTGCTGCTGCTGCTGCTGTTGCTGCTGCTGCTCGTGGAAAACGCAGCAAGTCTGAAATTTTTCAAACCGTCCGAGTTTTTATTTCTTTTAGGATATTTATAACGTTCGTTTAACTTTTTCTTTTTAATTAATTTTTTTTTGTTGTTTTTGTCACTTTTACTAGACGTATAAGAATGTTCGCTCGAACTTAATAAAAAAGCACTTTTTATAACTTCATTTATGTGAGTTTCGTAATTTTCATCAACGCATTTATCTCCTAATGTTTTCTCATTTGTTTCCGTTAATTTTTCCAATTCGTTAACGAAATCCATGGAAGTTTCTCCTCCTCCTCCTTCTTCTTCTTCTTCCCCTTCTTCTCCTTCTTCCTCTTCTTCCTCCTCTTCCTCTTCTTCTTCTTCTTCTGGTTTATTAGAATTTTTAACATTCAACTTATTGTTTTTATCTTTTGATAATTTCGATAATTGATTAGAATAAAAATTTTTTTCATTTAAACTATTCTTTGTTAATTTCAATAGATTTAACAATTCTTCTTCTTCTATTTCTTCTGGTGTCATACCTTGACGCGTTTTCCCTCTCCTACCACATTTCCTCGTTTCGTTTGATTTTTTACTTCTAATACTGCTCTCATTGCAACTATCATCCGACTCGCTACAACTGAAAAATTTTTTTTTATTAAAATTTTCATTTATTTCATCGAATTTTCTTTTCGGATTTATTATATCTTCGAATACGGAATCCGTTGAACTTTTTGTATTTTCATCATTTAATCTATTATCGATGATTTGATTATTTTTCACGACCGGAAATAATTTCAAATCGTCGTCAATTTTTTTTTCCATCACGTCATCATCTACGAATTCTTCTTCGCGAGAATTTATCAACATTTTATCTGGTACACTTTTAGGTATTTGTCTGGAAAACGTTTCACACTTCCGTTCATTTTCATTAAATGTTTTCACATTTTCATCGCTAACATTATAACAACAATAAGATTTATCGAAATTTTTACCCTTTAATGCCGTACTTAGAGAATTTGAAAATAAATTTAGGGTAAATGGCGAATAAAATTCTTTGGCTTCAATTAATTTTTCCATTATACTAAACCATAACCAAGCTTCCATATTTTTCACTTCATTCTTATCGATCACTTAAAAAAAAAAAGAAAAAAAAATTTTTTTATTAATAGAAGTATAATTATTAAAATAAAACTATTTGAAATGTTAAAATACTAACATTTGAAAAAATTTTAAAAATTTAACCCTAATTAATCAATCATAAAATAAATAGAACATACTTGGGCAAATAATATATAAGAGTCCCTTATCCTGTTTTAATAATTTTTTTCATATTTAAAACATTTTCGTATTTTTAAAAGGAGCAAAAAACAAATTTACTCTTATATGTTAACCACCACTATCAATTTAAAATAAATTTCAATTACAATCGTATTAAATATTTATTTGAAAATTAAATTATAATTACATTTATCATGCTAAAAATTCAACACCATAAATAAGAACACACACACACACACACGCAATAAAATTATTATTATTATTATTATTAATTTTACGATTGTTTTAAATTTCATTCATTTATTTATCCCTTTTTTTAACTTGATTTGATTTATTATTTTAAATAAATAAATACTACGTGAACTTTATGATATAAAATGATTGATCGTTTTATAATAAATAAAAAATTTGATTTTACCCATCAAAATTTTTTTATAAAATAAATTTTTACACCTACGATGAGTTCCCGAAGGACTTACAATTCTCAAAAAAAAAAAAAAAAACGTTACAAAATTACTTTTGATTCACTAACTTATTAAAAAAAAAATTAGCATTCAAATATTTTTAAACCGAGTTAATAAATTTGATTTTGAAAATAAAATGAATAAATTTTATTTATTATTGGTCCAATAAATTTTAAGAACACTTATGAGTATAAATAATCTAAACTCTTCCAGTTATTTTTTGTAACGATTGTTATTGATTATCAGTATTCCAGTTGATTCCAGTCATTTCCATGATTGTTGACGATATGATTATTATAATAATGATTAAAGTCACAATCATAAAAATAATATAATTAAAATTAATAATTTAATTTTTGATTTTCCCATATTTTCCATTGACGTTTTCCCATTTTATAATTTTCTTATTAATATATATATATATATTCCAATTAATTTTATTAAAAATGACTTTTTAAGCATTCCATAACTTCTACACTTTGTGAGATATTAAACTTTATCTGTAAGTAATAAATATGAATCGTGTACTATTTATTGATTTATCAATAAATATTAATTTATATAAAATTTCTATAATAAATAATTTTCAGCCATGATAGCTTTTCCTTTATTTATATATATATATTTAAGACATATTTCATACATCCTAACATATTTTGTTAATAAATAAAAATACATAATCTTCCATGTCGTACGCATAAAACAAATGTTTCACACATTTTTTTGGGGATCCTGATTATTTTTTTTTTTTTCACGAGTCGTTTTAGAATAATTACGAAGCATTAGACATATCGTTTTCTAAAACATTCGATGATTTTTCTCCAGCACCTTCGACATCTTCTCCATTGTTTTCACCAAAAGTTTTCTTTTCCTTTTCCGACTCGACGTCGTTTTTCTCACTCGCATTATTATTATGAACTTTATGCAAGTACCTTTTACGAGTATCTCTGAATTGTTTAAACGCTTTTTGTAAATTCAATTTTTGCCTTTTATTTTTTCTACATTTCGAAACTCCATAAGTACGATCGGAAAAATCGCTGCTATCCGAATTTCTTTTCTTTTTTTTTTTTCTAAAATTTTTCCCATTGTTTTTCTTCGAGTTGTTAAGTTGATATTCATCTTCCGAACTTGCTTCCGTTTCAACATTATACTCATCATTATCTTTTTTTTCTTCGACGACTTTATTTTTATTAGCCGCGGCTGTGATCATTGTTTTTTCCAATGATTCTGTGAAAACGTTATCGTTGGTCATTTTAGCAAATGATTTAACTTTTAACAACGGTTTTTTAAGTTCGTTCGTTATCAATTTATCAACTTCTGCTTTTAAATCGATATTAAAATTTTTCGAAATTTTTCCCCCGCGGATTTTTCCATTATCCGATGTTGATGATTCGCTGAGATCTGATGTTATCTCAAATTCTGTAATTGTATCCTCATCATCATCATCATCATCATCACTCGTAGATAATAATTTTTTTTTTTTTTTTTTTTTAGTTTTTTCTTTATTTTTTAATTTTTTTATCATTCCACCGTTGAATTTTTTTTTTTTTTTTTTAACATTATCTAAATTGTAATTATTATCTTGATTGATTTTTTTCGATGAAAAGTTTAATCCGTCCTTATTATTATTTTGTAAAAATTCTCTTTTTTCATCTTTCACTGAAATTAGTCAATATTTTTCAAGTCAGTTATTTATCTTATATACTTACAAACAAAACTTTTTTTTTCTTTTTTTTTTTTTTTTTTAATATATAAATATAACCCGAATAAAATTATTATTAACTTAACAATACATATATATAATTTATAGGGTAAATTTTTAAAAATATTTCAATGATATTTTTTTTTTATTGGAAGAAGAAGAAGAGAAAAAAAAAAAAAAAAAAAAAAAAGTTAAAAAATATATACAAACCAATAGTTACCATTTTTTTTACATTTTAAGTCGTTTTTAATGGCATCTACAGAGACACTAGCCTTAGTTATAAAAGATGATAACATAATTTCGTGTGATTTCACAAATTCAAATTCTTTTTCAACATTTGTGAAATTTTTAACAAAATCCCGACTGGATAAGTCTCTTAATTTATCACTACTGCTCTTAAAACTGATTTCTGAAATGATTTGTGTCATTTTCCAGAAACCTTTTATTTTATTCAATATAACATCCACTTCTTGTACATTATCTGATTCTGATGCATCATTTGTTTTCTTTTCAACAGGTGCATCATGTTCAATATTTTTCGACTGACTAGGACATAAATTTTGTTTATCCTCGGAATTTTTCAACTTTTCAGTACATTCTTTTTTCGATGATTCTGTCACGTTGTAAACATTCAAATCATCTGCACTAGAAGAACTCTCACCTGAAAAATAATTAAGATGTTAAATATTTATAAGCTTTAATAAATTAATTAAAAAACTAAATAAAAAAAAAAGTGGTACTTACTTTCCGAATTAATTTTTCTTTCTCTTAATCTTAACCTTTTCTTTCGTTTTCTTATCGAATTGTAAGAACTCAAACTACACTCATCTGTAAAAAAAAAAATAATACCATACATAGGTACTTATTTACAACAGAGTAAAAATTTAATTATTGTTATTTACTTTTAAAATCATGGAATGTATACATTTTTAAAACTATTAATAATAATAATAATAATAGTAATGTAATTAATATATTTGCTTAACTCATATAAATAAATTGATTCAAATTTTAGTTTATTATCGAATTTGATAGTTTTCTCAATTGAAAACTTGGTAAATAGTAGTTAAGATTTACATTTTATGAACTCCATTATTTTTATTTCTGCATAAGACATAGACTTACTTTTATTTTTTTCTTCAAGTTCAGCTATCCTCTTGGCAGATTCTTCTTGAGCAAAAGAACAAATGGATCTGAGGTACCACAAAGGTTTAGGATCGCAAAAGTAACAAACCCAATCATCATCGTTTTCAACTTTTTCTAAAGTATTTTCATTAAAGTTTCTTTTAATGCACTTTTTACAAAAAGCACAAATGCACTTTGAACACAAAAATAATTTTCCACCTTCACCACACCATCTGCAATATTTATCTTCTCCATCGCTGTCCAAAGATAAGTTACCATCTCCGTAAAAATTACAGCATGAATTGCACATTAAAACATTAAGTAAAGGATGAAAGCTGACTTTTTTACCTTTGCTAATTAATCTATGAAAACTTCTATTACATTTTGTACACACATAGTTTTTCAAATATTCTTTGGTCGGATCAGATAATAACAAATTTTCTCTATACTTTTTTTCATCTTCTGTAGGAATCATAACTTCTTTAATTGACTCTACAGTCCGACATAATTTTTGTTTGGATACGTTTTCCACATCATTTTTTGATGTTTCACTTAAATTCTCCATCTCAATTATACAAAAAAAAAAAAAAAAACAAAACAAAAAAAAAAGTACTAAAATAAAAAATTAAGAATAATTTAAAGATTTCTTTTCGAAAATTTACATAATAAAATCTAGAATGTTTTTTTTTTTTTTTTTTAAGTAAGCACTAAGAGCTTTGAAACAAAAATATAGTTGGAGAAAATTTGCCTTTGATAATTATAAAATTGATATTACCTATACTTTATTACTGTTAACTATAATACTTCAACATTCACCAAGACTTTTTTTTTAACTAAAAAAAATATTTGTTTTCATATAATTAAGTTCAATAAAATTTTTATTTCCAGAACAAGACATATATATGTATTTATGTGCACAGATTGGAACTACAAAATTTACAAAATAATATTTGAGACACATTAATTCACTTTTATTCGAATTTAAATAAAATTGATTAAATAACTTAATTAAAAACATTTATACTGAAAATAATACTTTAAGAAATAAAAAATTATTATATAAATTAAAGGTTATAAATATATTATGGAGTCAACTGAACCATAAAACAAAATGGCAGTACAATTTGTTGTTGTACTGCATCAAGTAAATTGAACATTTAATAATTTTCTTATAAAAGTTAAAAAAAATTATATATTTATATATGAAAAATTATTATATTTACTTAAATAAAAAATTTTATACCTCTTCGGTAATAAAGTTATAAAACCAAAAGTGAAAAAATTAAACGAGATCCATAATTTCCGCCAAAATTTAGACGTGTAAGAATGAAAGAAAGTCAAAACTATACTTAGCTTAGGTTGTTTAACACATCTATGGAATTCCCTCGTCGAATTGAAAATTTTAACGGTTTTTTTTTTTTTTTGAACTCGAAAGAAAAAAATTTCAAAAAAGTAAAAATTTGTGAGTATTTTTTAAAGAGTAGATGCAGCAGCATTCTTAAATCTTTCTTATCGTTACTAATTTATTTATGATTATGAGTTAGTATAATTATAAAGTTTTTTTTAATCTTGTAAAAAAAAAAAAAAGGTAATTACTTTTCATTTGTTCAATTCAATTTCAGATCCAAATCACCAAATATGGTGATCATCCTCCATGCAAAAAAAAAAATGTGAATATTAAAATTATTATTTAAATCAACCGTTATTATTTCATTTCATTTTCAAAAAATTATATATAATTAATAAAACTAATAATGAAATAATTCCTCTTAAAATAAACTAAAAAGCAACAATGAGGTATTCAGGTATGAAAATTAATAGATATTATGTATGTACATATTTTTTTTTTTAAAAAAAAAGTAAAATGAATTTTAATAAAGATTTACATAAGATAACTTTTATCATCAAGTATAAATTAATAAAACAACCCATAAAATTAAATAAATTGTATTTATTAGTTTTTTTTTTTTTTTTGAAAATTAATCAAGTAGGCTTTTGAATAAAACATGAAGTCTTCTCAAAAGAAAAGTAAACAATTTTTTTGGATTCGGTTTTAAAATGTTATATAATAAAATAATTGAGTATTAACATCGAAAAATTTCCGAGTGAGAATGGACTCATCTAGTTTTACAGATTTAGAAAACTTAACTGAGTTTTTTTTGGAAGATGATTTTAAAATTAATGATGTAAAAATTGAGCCCATTCCATATACATTTACAAAACTTGAAAATGGAAAAAGGGTCATTAATTGATTTTATTATTTTTTATTTTAAACAATCATATATAATACAATTAAATCAATGCATTTTTTTTTTATTTACAGATAATTATTGATTCAGCATCCGTTATCCCTCCCAGTTGGTTGCTCTTGGACCACACAATAGCTGTTATATGGATGCTATTTAATTCTAATTCAGCATCTTACACTTTAAGCACGTATATTACTACCATTCAAAAAATAATAATAATAGTAATAATAATTATTATTATTTTATTTTAGATACAAACGATTTAAAATGGGCTTATGAATTTTTAAAAGAAATTCGAAATAAAAAAGGTGAAAATCCACCGGATGTTAAAATTTGTTTATCAGAAATTCAAGATCGCCTAATTCATTTATATGCAAAACTTTCAAGTTTAAAAGATGGTAAAAAAAAATTCATATAAAATAACATTAAATACAAAATTATGTAAAACTGTAAAAAAAAAAAAAAAAAGTAGAATACAATAAGATTTTGTTAACTTTACTGTTTGTAATAATTTTTTCTTATAGATGATTCAAATAAAAATTCAAATTTTTTTAATGGGAATCCCAAAACATTCTTTCTACCAACAAGAGAAGAATCCAGTCAATTAAAAATAATAAATAGCACAATTGCTAGCAGTAAAACTGATATGAAAATTGAATTTCCCTTATCATCCATACATTCTTCCAGAGACATAAGCCTAACAATACCAAAAGAAAAACAATCCACCGTTGGTATTCTTATGAATTAAATGTAATTTTATAAAAGAAAAGAATTTTATTAATTTTTTCTCTTTTTTTTTTTTCCATTAAAGATAACATATTCAAAAAATACATTATCACCAATTAATTATAACCATTTAGAAGATTTAGAATTTGAAGATGATGATGATGAAATAAATAAATATATATTTGATTTTTTTGAAGAATCAAAAAAAAATGAATATTTACAATCAAGGTTATTTAATTAAAATATTAAATGTTTTTATTTATATTATATTTATTTATTAAAAAAGGGAAATTTGATTTTGATCTAGGTCTAGTTCAAGGAGTTTAATTCCAATGAAAAGAAAAAATCAAAATTTATTATCAGGTTCTGATGGTTTTAATAAACGTAATTCTTTTGATGATATTAAATGTACGGATAAAACACAAAAGAAAGTTCATTGCATTGCTGAAATGCGAAGTTTAAAATATCAAAAATCACTCAAAGTACAGGAAAAAAATGTAAGCAAAATGTAAAAATTTTTTAATAAGAAATAAAAAAAAAAAAAAAAAAAGAAAAAAAAAGTCATTTCAGTTTAAACAAGATTGAATGAATGAATGAATGATTGAAAATAGGGAGACGAAGCTGCTTATTCAAATCTTAAAGCTGAAATCCGAAGATTAACATTCAATCCAAAAGTACCTAAAGATGATTTGAGAAAATTTTTAAAAGAATGGAAATGCGAAGAAGAGGATAAACTTCATAATGCGGTACATCGACTTTGCAGTATTGAAGAGTAAGTTTTATCTTTTTAATATTATTTAAACACGTTAAGAATTTTGGCCAATATAATATATATTATTATTGTAACTCCGATGTGTCTTTAATACTTTCAAAATACCTTAAATCGAAACCTTAATTTTCCCCTTTTGAAAAACCCAATTTTCCACCTACTTAGTTGAATTTTCTTTTTCAAATGGCTTAAGCTTTTTCTCCATCCATTTTCTTTCGGCTCATTTATTATTATTATTTTTTTTTCCATCCACCCACCCCCTTCCCAATATGAGGAGGATAGTTTTCTATAAAAAAAAAATTATTTTTAAATCTTCTTTAGGAACGGCCATGAAAAATAAACAAAATACTAGGACAGGAGAACAATAAAATTCAAGCTAAGCCTAATTAAAAATGAACAAAAAAAAGAAGATAATTAAAGCAAATGGGCCCTTTTTGTTCCTTACAGAATCATCAAAAGCATCGATGAAAGAACGTCCATATCGAAACAGGAAAATTAATATTCTTCAAATAAATAATAACAAGTTGGAAAACATCGGAAAGAAAAACAAATGAAAAACTTCTCTCAAGGGGAAAATATTTAATTCAATAATGGAACAATTTTTTTTAAAATTTCATGTTAGTTTTATTTTTTTCGTTTATATTATTTAAATGGTTAATATAAATATGGGAAAACGATTTACAAACATCCAAGAGAATTGACTAATAACGTAGATACTTTTATTTTACCATCTTGAGATGCTGTGACGCAAGTGGCACATTGATTAGCAAATGACCAATCCACGCAAGTAAGCATTGTTTTATGACCTCCTAATTCTAAACTCTTAACTAAATTCGAATCGCATACCTGAAAATATTTTCAAAAAAAAAATTATAAAATCCAAAGTTAAAATTATATATAAATATATATACATATATGAATTTTTCATTTATTTCAAATTACTTTAAATATTACACCGCGATTTAATCCGGCAGCCAAGAGTAGGGATCCCGTATTATCAAGACAAAACATTCGTCCGTGTATTTCTGGATGAACTTTCATTTCTTCTGGAATATTCAAGGTTAGAATTTTGCTATTAACTTGATGTAGAGACCTGGAACAAATCTGAAAATTTTCTTTTCTAAATAATATATATATATTCTATCAAATCAATTTAATTGAATGGCACGTGAGAAATTAAAAGTCTTAACATAAAGAAAATTTTTAATTTTATAGATAAACCGTTAAACCTATCATCAAACAATTAAAAAAAAAAATTTGAACTCACCGAAACGATTTCAATCAAAAACCTGAAAATATTCATAAATTTTCTTCCAAGTTGAAGTCTACGTATGGAAAATTGTAAGTTTTTAAAATATTTTTTTCATTTCAAATATGCAAAACTTAAATCACAATTTTATAATTTACCTACTGCTCGAGGGAAAAGTAATTGTTTGCATTTTCCCAGGTTTTACAGGTTTTTGATTTGAGTAAAATAAAATAAGGTATATACCTTGTCATTAGCCAGAGAATAAAAGTGAGTGTAATCTGCTGCAATTTCAATTTGAGTGACAGGATATTTATGATATGTCCACTTTTCAATTATGTCATTCTTACGATAATCTAAAAGCAAAACTGTTCCTTCTCGAGTTCCCACCAATGCCAACTGTCCATTATGATTCATTTTTACGCATGTTGCAAAGTAATTTATATTTATTGATTTCTAAACATAAAATTAATTTTTCAAAACACTTACTATTTATTTTTTAAAACTTTGTTTCTTCAACAACAAAAAAAAAAATTACCAACCTCTACTTTTCGAGATCTTAGATCTATTACAAATAATTTACCCCCGAGAATTACTATGACTGTCGGATCAGCTGGACTGCATGCTATTTCAACAACTCTAAAATTTAAATAAGTTTATTTAAAGTTATAATTAATTAGTATTTCAAATAATAATAATAATAATTGGTAAATAGAAAATTAATTAAGACTTACCCTTTCCCTGAGGTATTCTCATTCTCAATATTAATACTCCACATTGCTTTAACATCTTTAGTATTGTATAATGTCACAAAACCATTGCTTGTTCCACAAATTACATATCTATCATGGTTTGGAACCCAATCCAAGCATAAAATTGAGTATTTGTTACTAAAACATGCGACAGTTTTGCATAAAGGAGAAGAACTCCATATTTTTAAATTCCCCTCTCTATCTGCTGATGCTATTAAATTTCCTTGATTATTAAATTTAATTCTTGTTATTTGGGTTTTATGTTCACAATATTCTTCCTAAAATACCACTATAAAGGTTTAAATAATAAATACAATTTTAACATCCCCAAAAAAAAAAAAAAAAAAAATATTTACCAAACTTAAAAATAGTAAATTTCCTTCCTGTGCCTGTTCATATTGTACATCTTCTTTTTTTAATGTATTGTCTTTAACTCGTCTGGCACTAATCACATCTAATGATGATTCCCTTTCTCTAGATTTAAAATAAGTGGGTCTGCCATCTGTCGATAAAGATCTTTTAGTAGGAGGAATTTTTTTTAGTGAATGTTTTCTTTGACTATTTCTACAAAATTGTGGTGGTTCTTTTGAATCATTTTTCGGGCTAAGAGGCACAGATCCAATATTTTTCATAATGGTTTGTAGTAAATTTGCTTGATTCTCACTTGTTTTTAATTCTCTTAAAAAAAGAAGAAAAAATTTTAAGAGATAATATTCATTGTGTTAAAAACGATTGATATTAAATCATGTAATACTGACTGAGCAATATTAAAAAAATCATCCATTATTTCTTCAATATCTAACCCTGAATCTGACTCTGTACCCATAATTTTTTTATCATTATTTAATAAATTAATAAGACCCTTTCTGATGATATCATTTTCTTTTTGTAGGGCTACCATTTTAGATGCATTTTCCTCGAAATTGGTTAATGTCGGCTGTGGCATACATTGGTACACAGCAGCTAAAAAATTATGTAAGGAAATTTGCAGTGTATCTTGCCATTGCTTGCTAAAATATATTCCAAAAACAGTATGTTCTTCAGGATTTTTTATGAATGGAAACACTAAAAAGTAAAATTTTTACATGTTTTTTTTTTTTTTAAGAATGCTTAATTTGCTAATAATTTTTATTTGAATCGTTTTCATTGGAAACTTTAATTACCGAACCATTCTTTCCATTCGCTTTGATTGACAAGCTCAGCTGTGAGTTTAGCAAAAAAATCAGTTATTTTGTCGTGCTTTCCATTTTCCGAGGCGTTAACTAAATAAAACTTCAAGACAGCATTTTCTAATTTTTTTACAGCCGAAGCAAAATGTTGTTCAAGTCTAACAAACAAACGTGAATCTAAATGATTCCAAGTTTCTTTTAAACTAATCAAATCGTAATTGTAAACATGTTGAAACAATTGATCAACAATTTTATCAACCCTGAACCCCTTATCTTTATCTAATTTTAAATCTGCATCAAATGCTTTTAAGGCTCCACCGAAACCGCGAAACATTAAATATTCACGAATAAGTTCATCAGCAAATTGAATGTGTGACATTTTATACAATAATTTCCTTCCTTAACAATTTACATGACATTAAAAGATAACGTAAGGTTGATGATAAGTAATCG